ACACTTAAAGTTTATCACAAGTGCCTGGTGTGACTCTGTCCTGTGTGCATGTTCTGTGGAATAACAGTCGTTTCTCTCCATTGCCTTCTTTCCCATCTAAGTGCGTGCCACCACCTCATGGAAGGTTGAGTGGACGTGGACATGAGCCCCCTGAGACTCCAGAACTATTTTTTCAGTTGTGAACTAAAGGCCAACAAAGTTGATCACTGTAAAGTGGATAATGATGAAAACGAGCACCAGTTTATCTTTAAGAACGGGCAGTTGGTGCAAACGGGCTGGTGCAAAGGATGGATTTTGCATTGTTGAAGTAGAGGCAATGAATTCCAAAGGCAGTCCAATTAAAGTCACACTGGCAACTTTGAAAATGTTGGTACAGCCAGCGGTTGCCCTTGGGGGCTGTGGAATAATGCCACCTGTGGTGTTACAGTTGAAATGTGGCTCACGGCCTGTGCATATTAGGGGACAGCACTTAGTAGCTGTGGAGGAGGATGCAGAGACAGAAGATGAAGAGGGTGTGAAACTTTTATAAATGTCTCATAGAGGAATTAATGTACAATATTTGAAAACTATAGCTATCAACTGGGCCGAGCAACTAGTTGGAGGCTGTGTGGCTTGTCAAGTTCAAGTCCAGGATACTGGTGATAGGCTGATAGGAAAATTAAGATAATTCTAAGAATCTGTCTTCAACAGATGAATTTCTCACCAGTACACAGATGAATGGTGGGAGTCCCTACGTGCAAAGCCTCGTCTTTGATCAAAAACATCCTAAGAGAAAATGTGTCTAGAGAGGAATTTTCTGGCAAGAAAATGAGCAGATAGACTTAGGAATTGTGGTGAAAATAATTTCTGTAAGACTGAGACGTGGAATACAAGTAATTTTCATCTTCGATGCTAAGAGGAATGTGGTATGGATTTGGAAACAGGAAGCTGTGAAAGATAGTTTTTATCTAGTGTTGCCCGAAAATGTCATTTTTCCCCAGTGGTGCTAGTTCTAGGTGTGCAGGACCTGAGTGCCAGTGAACGTGTACTAGCTGCGCCTGTGGCAGACTATGTATCTTTCAAATTTCAGTCTGGATGCTTTCATTGCCACTTCCTCAGTGAGGGCTTCCTATAGGAGCTTACTTAAAATATGCCTGCCTTTAGCTTTCTTCTTAATCATTAAGACTTGGAATGTATTTTTCTTAACATTAAAAAAATTACTAAATGTATTAAAATTATTTTCTCAAGGCACCTGGGTGGCTCAGTTGGTTGAGCGTCTGACTTTGGTTTCGGCTCAGGTCGTGATTTCAAGGTTCGCGAGACTGATCTCCACATGAGGCTCTGCACTGATTGAGGAGCTTGCTTGGGATTCATTCTCACTCTCTCATGCTCTTCCCCCTTCCTCCCTCACTTGCACTCCCTCTCTGTCCCTCTCTTTCTCTCTATGAAAACTAACTATAATTATTTTGGGTGCTTGTTTACTGCCTACCTCTTCTTCATGGGGAAAGATACCACATCGCTTATTTTCTCTTAGATCTCTGACACCAGCTGGATAGCAGGACCTTAACAGTGTTTGCTGAATGAAAGAACAAATGACCAAAGGAATGAGTAACCATGGTATATTTGCCAACACTATTTCAAGTGCTGTCATGGTGTCACTTGGACAGGTGTGTGTGTGTGTGTGTGTGTGAGTGAAGCTTTAATGAAACCTTGTCATTAATATTCTCTCTCAAGCTCTTTCACCTCTGGAAAGCCCTCATCATCTTTATTGTTGTTTCTGTGCTTTGATGTCTTGGCATGATTCAAAATACCATATATGATTTCTGCATCATGAATGCAATGGACCATTTACCTCCATATTTTGCTTTTTATATATGACTGGCATGGAACTTCTTTTAAAAAAAAATAATGTTTTATTTATTTCTGAGAGAGAAACAGCATGAGCAGGGGAGGGTCAGAGAGAGAGGGAGACACAGAACCTGAAACAGGCTCCAGGCACTGAGCTAGCTGTCAGCACAGAGCCCGATGCGAGGCTCGAACCCACGAACCACATTATCATGACCTGAGCTGAAGTCAGACACTCAACCGACTGAGCCACACAGGCGCCCCATGAAACTTCTTGAAGATCATGAAAGGCTGACTCTTGGGCATAATTTATAGTAGTAGTTTGATAAGAACTTACTTCATAACCTGGGAGTTGTTAATAAGGCACAGAAAATTACCATATTAAAGTCAAAACTTGAAATATTACTGTTTTTGAAGCTGTTGTATGTTTAATTTTGAGTGAAATTTGAAGGTTTAACAAGACTGAAAATTCTGTAATATGTATCTATGATCAACCAAGGTTGTCATTAATACATGAGTTAGAGGTCCTGTAGTGAAAGGGGGATGCAGATATAAGATTGAAAAAACTAATTCCCAGTTATAATTCTGATTTCTTAGGATAGATATTGTACATTAGTAATCTAAATAGCGGTATCTTAACTGTTAATTAGATAAGACTGCAGGTTTGTAGTGGCTATAGAAATGGGCAGTAATACCAGTGATGAGAACCCATCCACATATTAGGCAGTACCCTTAAAGTAGACAGAAAATAGGTAATAGTAACACTTGTGTAACATTTCCTATTAATACGGTGTTTTCCAAGTACTTGATAAACTTAACATACATAATCCTTAGTTTTGTGAGGATACTATTGATATTTTAATAGAGGGAGAAACTTGAAGTATACAGCAAAGAGGAGCTGGGCCCTGAGTCACATCCATTAAGTGGCAGATGGGGAATTCACACCCACGCCTTCTGTCAACACTGCATATGCTCTTTAACCCTGGGATAGACAAGTTACTGGAGTTGATTTGAATATTTTTATGCTGATGACTTACATTCACCACAGGTTTTAAAAGCTATAACAAAGGTAGAATTTGACAGAAATCATTTGTAATTATTCACTTCAATCACCTAATAGAGTTGAGAATAGAGAGCTTCATTACAATGGATCTGTGTTCTCCACGTTATCCAAGCAGGTTGTAGGAACTGAGTGAATTCAAATATTCTCCCTTTGAAAACATTAGTGCATCATCATCTCTGTCTGCTGACTTTAACACTTGCTATATAGCTGGCTCTATTAAAACCCTGCGTCCAGGGTTTTGCTTATACTTTCAGTACTTAGTAATTTACAATGTGAATAATTGAAGGAAACCATATGATTATCTCAAAAGATAGAATGACACAATTTAAGAAAAATCATTCCGGATAATCTTTTTAGTAAACTGGAATTGGAAGGGGAATATTTTGCTGAATGATTATGGCAAAACTGACGGTTTTCTTACTGACGTGAGCAATACAATGGAGATTCTAGTCTCACTAACTTCTGTGTCGTGATACTTGAAGTAATAACCTGTGCAATCAGGCTGAAAAAAGAAATAACAGAACTGGAAAGAGAATAACGTAATGGTCTTTATTGGTGGGTTCTATCATTGTATTGCTATAAAAACAAAATAATCTTCCACAAACAACTTGGGTTTGAAAAGCTTAGCAAAGTTTCTGGACTTAAAAAAAAAAATCATGGGGCGCCTGGGTGGCTTAGTCGGTTAAGCATCCGACTTTCGCTTAGGTCACGATCTCGCGGTTCGTGGATTCGAGCCCCGCGTCGGGCTCTGTGCTGACTGCCAGCTCAGAGCCTGGAGCCTGTTTCAGTCTGTGTCTCCCTCTCTGTCTGACCCTCCCTTGCTCACGCTGTCTCTCTCTCTCTCCTAGAAATAAACATTAAAAAAAAAATCAATATAGTAAAATTAGGTGGTGACTTCAGCAAAAATTGCAGATCAGGCACTTCCATAATTCCTCTCTGCCATAAAACTAATGAGAACATGGAAAACGTTCTCAGTGTCAAATTTGGTCCAAACTCTGGAAATGAAGTAGAGGTTTTCAGCAATGCAGGTAGTGTTGATTGAAAAATAATAACTGAATCTGGGTAAGAAGAGTGAATCTCCAGTCTTTTTTTCTGAGTTGCTCTTAAAACCAGCAACCTGGAGGCAGGAATGAGCTTGGACATTGAGAGCCCTGTTCCCAGAGAATTGTCATCCCCCCCCCCTTCTGTTGGCCCATGGAAGATGTTGCTCTTAATGCTTTCTTTATTTAATCTCATTTAAAATTAACACATTGGTAATAGCCTTTTTAAAGATGTTCTATTTATTTATTTGTAAAGAGTGTGAGCTAGACAAGAGGCAGAGAGAAAGGAAGAAAGAGATAATCTCAAGCAGGCTACACAGTGTCAGCCCAGAGCTCAACATGGGGCTCCATCTCACCAACCACGAGATCCATGACCTGAGCTGAAATCAAGAGTCTGACGCTTAGCTGACTGCACCACCCATGTACCCCATGTTAACAGCCTTTTTTGTGGGCACAGATAGTGAAAACAATAAAAGACACTTACTTGACATTGTATTTGCCTATATTATAGGATAAAAGTTGAAGAAAACAACAGGCTAATCCAAAAGCTTGAAAGTAAAATACAGGAAGCAAGATGTGCTTGTGATGCATTGAAAATCTCCAAGATCTTTCTCACAATCAAAAAGGCCATGCACATGCATAGAACTCTGTATATGCTCAGAACTGTACACAGCACAGGAGATTCCTGAGAATATTATAAACTCTAATCTCAGGCTGAACTTAAGGTTTTGCCAACACAGGAAGTGAAGGTAAGAGTCATATAGTAGTACATTGCTGAGTTTTGGTATCACCAACATCCACACACAACCTCTTAGGAAAGACTGGAAAGATGTATTGGTTCCAGGAATTTAAGGATCTCTGTCTAATCATTAGCTGCCCAGTAAGAAGCTTAGGAGTGACTTAAGTGGCTACATGGAACAAAGAATATTAGTTGTCTTGAATTAGTTTGGGAAAGGCATTAAAACAAACAGTAACAAACAGGGATAAAAACAAACTTTGGGGAAGGAATACAATCTAATTTCCAGAGTTGGCACATACTAAATACCCACTTTAAAAAGAAAAAATACGAGGACTTGCTTCCATAGCATATACACCGAAACTAGACTGATACAGAGAAGATTATTAGCATGGCCCCTGTGCAACAGTGATCTGCAAATTCATGAGCCATTCCTTAAAACCATTCCTAGATGAACAACAACAAAAATGGTCCATCCTCAAGGAAGAAAAAATAAACAATTACATCTAAAGCCCAGGTGTTGGGATTAATAAAAAAAATATATATATATACACATCAGCTGTTTCACCTGTGTTCAAGAGGTGGGGGGAAGAACTGCTTTCTAAAACATTAAAGAAAACTATGGGAATGTGTGTTACCAAAAGAGAAGATTAAAGAATAGCTAGAAATCACATGAAAAAGGTAAACTTTTGAGTTTTCTGGAGTCAAAAATTACATAAAAAATATTAAATACTGGGATCTGCATATAAGGAGCTGGGAAGTCACCATTCTGTCCTAACATCTAGTTAAAAAAAAAAAGTTGGAAAATAATTGTTCTAGGATCCATAAAAGCAAGAAGGACATAAGGAAAACCACAATTCCCAAAATTGAAGAAAGTTGCCAAAGAAAAAGGAGTCAAAGATCACCAAAGTAGAGACTCATGAGTAGAAGCTTTCACAGGAACTAGTACACGGGTAAGAAAAGTTGGTCTGTAATTGTTGAATTTTGGAGGCTCAGTGTGTTTTACCCCCCAGATTTTGTGGGATTTATCTCTAGTTGCCCACAGTAAACACCACTACCAGTTGCCCACAGTAAACACCGCTGAAAATTCCCTGTTGATAACTGTCGGAGACATGTTCTTTTTGATAATTCCTGCCGTCAAGATAAGCTAACCAGAGCCTGAATGACCTGAGGGAAGAGAAATAGCCAATCCAGTGAGTTCCAGACTCGAATATGACAGAAGGGAAATACTCAACTCCAGCCCCCTAGAGCTATCCTGCCATACATAAGGAAGGCTACATAGTATATAATTTCACCTACATGACATCCTGGAAATGGCAAAACTATGGAGACAGTACAGATTTCACTGGGTGTCAGGGATTGGAGTGGGGGTAGAGAATGGAGCTGCAGAACACAGAGGATTTTTAGGGCAGTGGATTTACTCTGTATGATACTATAATGATGGATAGATATCATTATACATTTCACAAAACCCATAGAGCGTACAAGAGCAAGAGTGCTTAAGGTAAACTGTGGACTCTGGGTGATAATGATGTGTCAGTGTACGTTCATTACTTGTAACAAACGTACTACCCTAGTGGGGCACTTGATAATGGGAGAGTCTATACCTATGTAGGGGCAAGGAAGTACATGACAAATATCTGTACATCCCACTCAATTTTCCTGTGAACCTAAAACTGCTTTCAAAAATGTCTTAAAAATACTAACTGTAGAGGATCAACAGGTTATTTGGTAGAGGAAATTATTAGCCAACTTGAAGGTAGAATGATATAATCCAGTGTGAACAACAGAAAGAGAAAAGGAATGAAGAAAATTGAAATCAGCTATAGAAGCTTCTGAGACATCATTGGGGCACCTGGGTGGCTCAGTGGGTTGAGCCTCTGACTCTTGATTTTGCTTCAGGCCTTGGTCTCACGATTTGTGTGTTGGAGCTGCACATTGGACTCTGAGCTGACTGTGCGGAGCCTGCTTGAGATTCCCTTTGTGCCCCTCCCCCACTTGGTGCATGGACATGCATATGCTCTCTCAAAGAAATCTATGAGATACCATCAAGTGTATTAAGATACGCATAATGGACATTCCAGAAGAAGAGAGAAAGAAAAAGACAAAAATGATACTGCGAAAGATAATGGCAGAAAAATGTTCAAATTTGATGAAAACACTACACACTGAGGAAGCTCAACAAATTCCAAGTAAGATAAACTGAAAGAGATGCATACATGGACACATCTTGAGAGAAGCAAGAGAAAGGTGTCCCTCTCATCCAAAGAATCCTCAATCTTATTAACAGCTATTTACTCATTATAAACCATGGTGGCACAAAGGCAGTGGGATGGCATACTTAAAATGGTGATGGAGAAGAAAATAAGCAACCAAGAATTCTGTATCCAACAAAACTAAAAAATGTGGGAGGAATTAAGCAATTGACAGACAAAAGCCCAGAAAAAATATGACTAGTAGATCAATCCTACAGATATAGAAAGTCTCCCAGGATGAATTGACAGGGAAACTAGACCATAACCTGCAAGAAAGAAGGAAGTGAAGTGGTTGATATACCTAAATGGGTCAATAGAAATGACAGTGTAAATATTTTTGAAAAAATCTTAGACAAAATAATGAAGTGAAGGCAGCAGTCTATAAAAATGAAGTATTGACCGTGATCTTGTGGAATGCATTCCAGGAATGAAAAGTGTATTCTCAGTGAGAACCAATGATTTGTTTCACTTTGCTCATAGAATAAGGGATCCAAAACCAAATGCCCAAAAGGCATTTGACAAAATCAACTTGTCATTAAAAAATAAAAAAAAAAAACAAAAAAAAACCTGGAAATAGAAAGTGCATTACCTTTCTATAGCTGCTGTAACAAATTACCATTTCTCAGTAGCTTATATAACACAATTTTTCATACTTTACAGTTTCATAGTATAGAAGACCAAACTGGGCCTCACTGGAATAAAATTATGGTAATAGTTAAGCTACATGCCTTTCAGGACGCTTTAGGGGAGAATCCCCTTTCCAGACCTAAGTAATTAGAAAGCTACTCCATAAACGTGGATTGGAAGACTTAATCTTTTTAAGATGGTAATATCCTAAGATGGATCTACTAACTGAGCACTTTCTCTGTCGAAACCCTGGCTGCCTTTGTTGTTGCAAAACTTGACAAGCTGATCCTAGATTCCATATGGAAATTCAAGTGCTGCGATATAATAATCAAGACAATGTTGAATAGCTAAGCTGGAGGATGGGTTTCACAATTTCAAAAGTTACCACAGAGTTCTAGTAATCAAAACTATTACAGTGTCATAAGGATAGACGATGGAATAGAATTGAGAGGCCAGAAGTAAACCCATAAATTCATAGATTTATTAGCATTTCATAATTTCATAGGGGAAAGGTGAAAGTAACTAATCTTTTAGACAAATTTAGTGGAAAAACAATTAGATGTAAAACTGCGATCTTGTCTCTTGCCATTTTTAAAACTTCAGTCAAAATGGATTAAAACTTAAGTGTAAGAACTGAAATGATGTTTTTAGGAGAAAACAAAGACCCAACTCTTGTTTACATTGTATTGTGCAATGAGTACTTAAATATGACCCCAGATCCAGAAAGAGCCAAGGAAAAAACTAGGTAAATTAACTACCTTGATATATAAGATATTTTTGATTCAAAGTAAGCTGTCAAGACAAACGTATAGGGGAGCCTGAGAGGCTCAGTAGGTTACGTGTCTGACTTGGGCTCAGGTCATGATCTCTGAATTCATGAGTCCAGGTTGTTCTGACAGCTCAGAGCCTGGAGCCTGCCTCAGATTCTGTGTCACCCTTTCTGCCCCTCACCTGCTCACACTCCCTGTGTGTGTGTGTGTGTGTGTGTGTGTGTGTCTCTCCCTCCCCCTCCTCAAAAATAAATAAAAGTTGAAACATTTTTTTTTTTTTAAAGAGGAAAACCTGTAAGCCACAGAATAGGAGATACTATTAGTAAATTGCTTTTCTGATGAGAGTTTGGGATCTAGACTACATAAACAAGTCTTAGAACATAATGATACAAAACTAATCGCATCAAAAATGATAAGATGCCTTGAATAATTATTTTTCCAACTAGGTTATGAAAAAGCCAATAAACACATTAAAATTTCTTCAACATCATTAAATATTAGGGAAATGCCAATCAAAATTTTAAAAAAAGACCATTTCACACGCACTATGGTTGGTAGAATAAAAAATAAACACGTGAATAAATGTGGTATGGATACAGAGAAGTTGGACTCCTCATAAATTGCTGGTGGGGATTTAAAACAGTGCAACTCTTACAGAAAGGGAGTGGTTCCTCAAAAAGTTCACTGTAGTGTTACAGTGCAGCTCAGCAATTTCAGTTCCAGGTACTAAGAAGAACCAAAAGAAAATAATTGTACGTGAATGTTAATGGCAGTGTTGTTCATAACAGCCCCAAACTGGAAACCGTCCACATGTCTGTCAGTTGGCAGATGGGTAGACAAAATGGTATATCCATACATTGGAATATTGAGTCATAGTTAAAGAAGTACTGGCACATTCCACAATATGGGTGAATCTTTAAAATGGGCTAAGTGAAAGAAGCCACACTCAAAAGTTAACATAGAATTTTAAGTATAAAATAGTCCCAGTAGATAAATTGATAGAGGCAGAAAGTAGATAAATGGTTTCCATGGCTTTTGAGTGGGCGTGGGAAGTGAATGTACATGGGCATTCTTTTTGAAGACCTCAAAATGTTCTGGAACTTCATAATGGTGACATTTGCACAGCTTTGTGACTATACTAAAAATCGTTAATTGTATAATTTAAAGGGACAAATGTAAGGCTCTGTGAATGAAAGCTCAAAAATAGATATTAATAATGAATATTTAGAAAACGAAAGTTTTAAGAAAGGAGTCATTTAGAATAGCCTCAGAAACAAGTACCTAGAAGAGAATCTAGCAAAAGATGTATACAGCCATCACAAAGGCAATAATCACACTTGAGAGAGAGATTAAAGAATTAAAAAAGGACCAGCCTCCCTTGTTCGTGAACTGGAATGTTCGGTATTGAAAAGGTGAAAATTCCCTGAAAACTGACTGTAAAACGATCAGAATAAGAATGACAACAGGTGTTTTGTTTTATTATGTTTTGCTTTGCAATTCAGCTAGCCAATTCTAGAATATACAGCAAGTTGTAAATGGCTTAGGAAAGCAAAGACATTCTTAAAGTAAAACAAATAGAGCTTCTGTAATATAACATGGCATATAAAACTGTGGTAAACAAGACCATGTATTACATGCAGAGCGGTAGTCATTGCAGGACACTAGAGGGGAAAAAATAAACTTTGATCCCAGCAAGGTTTAGAACCAATTCTTTATATGTCAAAAGACACCATGTGTTGATGAGGATGTGGAGACTTTGGGACCCATGCACTTTGATGGTGGCCTTCCAAA